CGATAATCAAAGCTTGTGTTATCAATCTCTCCCTCCACCCTGTTACAACATTAGATTTTAAAACTGTCATCCTATCTCATTCCATTCTATTGTATGGTTGTGTGTAACTGTATGTAGTGAGTGGTATAGCTGAACTATTCTCTAGATTTCTTATCTTATTCAGGTCAACCAATCTAGATTTTGCTAGCTTTTTATCTTCGGCTAGTCTGGCTGACTGCGCCTGTTCTACTAGTTTGACCTCTGTATTTGACCTGACAATCATTGCAGATAAACTAAATTGTTTTGTTTCAAAGGCTCCACAAGATCCTTTAATCGACCAAGCTTGTTTCTAATTGAGTTTGTGGGTTTGAATGTAAGCCACTTTTATTCCTGCCTGCCTTATTAGGAATTCTGTGTAAGGTTTACGAGGTTTCTTCTTCATATGGAATTACTACTGATGATTTAGATTCCTTATTGTTGGTGTTGTCATTATCCTGTGCATGTTTGACATGCATGTCGTTATCAAAGTCAGGTAAACTCTGTATGACTGTTACGCACGTCTAGGATCAAGCATATCAGCGGTGTACTTGTACATACTAGGAAGGAACCTCGGAAACCTTACACGGAATTCCTAACAAGGCAGGCAGGAATAAAAGTGGCTTACATTCAAACCCACAAACTCAATTAGAAACAAGCTTGGTCGATTAAAGGATCTTGTGGAGCCTTTGAAACAAAACAATTTAGTTTATCTGCAATGATTGTCAGGTCAAATACAGAGGTCAAACTAGTAGAACAGGCGCAGTCAGCCAGACTAGCCGAAGATAAAAAGCTAGCAAAATCTAGATTGGTTGACCCAAATAAGATAAGAAATCTAGAGAATAGTTCAGCTATACCACTCACTACATACAGTTACACACAACCATACAATAGAATGGAATGAGATAGGATGACAGTTTTAAAATCTAATATTGTAACAGGGTGGAGGGAGAGATTGATAAGTAACTGAGGCTTTGTTTATCGAATCAACCGCAAACCAACATGAGTAATATGAATGATTCAACACCTGTCCACACAGATATCTGGAAAATTCTACTACCCCGACGACGACAAATAGGAGAGGAAAAAGAAAACTAATCATTGATAACCAGCACTGGAGTACTGGACGACTATTTCATCCACCTAGTTTGGGACTCATTGGCGGTACGCACCCATTGGATAGGTTTCGAACGCAGGACCTTCCGGTTACAAGTCAAGCTTGTATACTACTCAGCTACTGGGACCCAATTCAATGGCCAGTGCATGAATTCTAACTTCTATCAATTCGTGATTTCAACGCGACCACGGATTGTTACCAGTGACAGAACCGAAAGTGGTTTGCTTCTAAGCACGATCCAGTCACCCTTATGATATTCTCCCTACAGTAGTTTGGAAGCAGTTTAAGACTGCACTGAATTACATAACAGTTCTAAGATTAATTGGATTCTTAGAGAAAAAAGTAATAAAATGGGGAGGGGGATTTTGATGCGCTATTCTGAATAGGAAACAAGGTAGCTAAGTGATTCAGTTGAGTAGGCTGTAGTGTTAATTCAAATATTTGCATTTCTTTCCTGTCACCCACGTTATTTATAATTTCTTGTCAACTTTATAAAAGTGCATGCATCTTCTCCCTTCTTTTGTAAAAAAGAAGCAAACTGTTTGGCACTGCTTCTCAGCATGTATACAGTTTTTAAAGAAAATCCACTAAATAAAAAAGCATTTCATATCAATCTATCATATTTGTACCTTTTTGATGCTGTACAAATTTATGCAACGTAAAAGTTGTATAAAAGTTTTCACTTGTGAAAAAGTCGTACCAACAGACCACTTGTCTGTTGTTGTTGTTGTTGTTTTATTACTTGGCTGTTAGCTGGCAGTGAAATTCAGCACCCATGTTTCGCACTGTTTGGGACTCATCGATTGGATGTATCCACATCCTTAGTGAATGATTGCGTTTCCACTAGGGCTCGAACCCAGCACCAATTGTTTGAAACACAAAAGCATTATTCACCAAGTCATAAGAGCCACCTTTTGTTCAATAAGTATTAGTTATTATGCTTTGAAGTTATTATTTTTGAATCTCCCTTTGTATCATGGTAGTGGACCGAAATGCTCAGTTTCAGTGAGAAAACCGTCACTTATCGGGGGTGAGTCTAGGGAGTCCCAGGAGATAAGAAAAGTCCATTTTTAATTTTACTATTACTGAAGGTGAAAGATATAAAAAGGTTTGCTATCTTTGATCACAGATGTTTGCGTTCCACCTCCCGTGTTAAGTGACATGATATGGTCAGTTATCATGAGGTTAGACGTAGAGTATCAAATAAGGAAGGGAAGCTAATGAGTGACATTGTTAATATGACTAAGAAATGTGTTACGTACGCCGAACTATCAATTTCTCCATCGAGCAATGTTAGCTGACATTAGATTAAGTTAGAAAAGAGTTGGTGATGGTCAGATAGAAACATTAAACCAATTCATGAAGTCTTTGATAGTTGGGTTAAGACACATAGGGAGGTATAGCCTGGCTTGATAAGGATCCTCAGGGGTGCCAAGAAGCAGTTGTTGCAGATATAGCTCAAAAGCCTTCTCAGTGGAGCAGATACATTCACCCTATTTAATCTCCCAGATCCATTAGATCTTCATGGAACGTGGCAATGGGAACTGCCCCACTTTTATGCAAAGTCCTATGTTGGAACCTGGTGAGGCAGTCAGACTATCATCCATCATTAACCAAATAGCATCATGTTAACTATGAAGTATTTCTGAAGTGTCCATACTGGGAGCTGATGTGTCACTAGTGACCGTGGATTTCAATCCAATCAGATCACAATTAAGAGGAAATTCAAAAATAGTACCTTCAACACACCTCACGTAAAATGGAATTTAGTCATTACATTTACATTTCTGTACACTTACTAATAATGCATACCTCTGTAGTGTGATGCAGTTTGATGAGAAGCGGCCAAAATTGAAATCAACATTTTAAGTTAATGACTGTCTGCAGAGGTTGAAATGTTTTTTCCTGAAATCTGAATTTAGTCTACGTTGCAGGCATGGAACAACCTCATTGGACAACTAGTTTAACCTTGGGTTAATTGTCAACCAATCGGAATAATTTATTATCCTCTGACCTAGCCGACCTTTGATGCGACTAAGAATGTTTAGATATGGTGTATTTTGCTGTAATAAAGGTCTGTTATGCAGTCTCTTGTCTTCTCCTATTACACCCTGGGTTTTGGCAAAGATGGACATCTAGTTCCAATGAAGTTCAGAGAATTTTTAGTTTGGCTTCACTTTAATAAGAGTCAGTCACACTGGGGATATTTGTTTTATTATTTCATGTATTGTATTTACGCTTTTCCTTAATTATGCGTATTTTATAAATACTGCCAATGTTTTCAATCTACTGACTCTTGTAATAAAATAAATTAGATTTTAACTTGACTGGCATAATTCAGTCTTCAACAAACAAAGGACTAGACGTCTGACGCTAGTTACTTAATACCTAATATCCAGTCAAATTATCCAGTGCAGTCTTACAAAAGGCCAGTCGCGAGTCCGAATGGCTCAGTGATAACGTGGCAAAGTTCTACAACAACGTCCCGAGGGATGCGAGCGCACGAGTTGCCTTGAATCGACCAGTCAGAAAAATGAAGGATTTTTGCATAAAAATTTACGTGTATTTACATAAAAAGTATGAAAAACACTAAAGAGGGTCTAATATAAGATGAAAAGATGTCCCAATTATAATGGAGAGTTTGAGTTTTTAAATTAAACCAATTCCTATACATGTACTCATCTAGGTGACTAAAAATAACTTGATTCTGAGATCCGTTTATAGCTCTTATTCTATGTTTTAGTCTTCTCCAGAAACCTTCTATTGAATTAGTATGAGTACCGGTTCTGGGATCGACGAAGTCGTCCGAATGGTTAACCCGGTGGTGTATATATCCCAAATCGGATAATCGGTTATATCCTCCTCATTCATCCGTGTGAATGATAGTCCCTGGCAAGAAGAGTTTCGGGATAATAGGGAGAAGAGTGTCAGCACTCTTATCTGGAATAAGTTCAATAAATCCTTTTCAAATTTGGGTGTCGTAAATTCCCAATAGTCAAACCTTTTTAGCTCTGGCACGTCCACGATTGTATTTCTTCTTTGTAAGCACTGTTCGGTTGATGTGAACGATAACACCGACTCCTCCTAACACTTGTGCAATATTGTCATTTTCCATGATGCTAAATCTCGACAAAATTGAGACCACTGCACAGTAGACGACAACGTATTTTCTGTCTGAGAGGTAGTTGACCTCACTCCGAACTTCAGAATCCAGTAATGGTAAAGAAACAGTATATTCGTCAAAAAAGTTTCAATTGAACAAAGAGAGTTCCTAGAAGACAATTAACTGAGAGTGTCACTTACCAGTACAAATACTTGTTCGTCTCCTACACTCCGTATATTTATATGTATATATCTATTAATGACCTGTGAATACGGTTGCAGGCTGATTGAAACACTGCAACCACATATACGAGTATGTCCTATCCATCCATTATCCAGACAGTATTGAAATAGTGATCTGGGTGAAATTTGCAGCTGAGCAGATAAACAGCGTTCATTTTCGCGGTAGAATGATCGTAGGTTTCTTCAACCAGCTACTAGCATTCACACTCCTGGGACGCTATTCTTGGACTTCGCCAATAACGTCTCTAACTTGCAGCACTAAGTGACACGTGTTCCGATCTCACGAGAGAAATGATTTCTGTAAAGGTCGAAGATACACCTTGCTGACGAGTGCTATCAAGCCCAAAACGTGTGGCCAAAGCTTCCTGAAATAAAACCAGATAATTTCATCCAAGGATGCTCATTCTTTCGAAAATTCAGGTTTCCATGATCTGTATTTCTCTCATTATACCATTTTATGCCTACAAAAGACTACTCATTATTTATCATAATAATAATGATGATACCCTTTATCTTATTTCAGACAGACAGCAAATGGGGTTGGATAATTGTTGCATCATCATTCTTGATCCAGTTAATCATTGATGGAACACTCAGTGGATATGGTGTTTTATATTTATCTTTAAGAAATGATGAAGTATTTATCAGTGCAAATTATTCACAAACAATATTATCACTGCCTGGAACTATTCAACCTGGATTTTTTCTTTGTACTGGTAAATTACCACTTGTTTTTTTGTAATAATTACTTTTCTGCTCTCTTCATTTATTAAGAATTATATATATATATATATATCGTTTCTATGGTATAAAAGTCGATTACTGATAACTGAAGGCAATTAGGTGAAGACCCTGATCATAAATTGCAGGCTTATTGACACTTGCTAGGAAGGAGTTAGTACAATCTCTTCCCTTGAATACTTGAAGTCGCGTTATACAGTGAAAGTGATGTAGTCGCTGATCTATTCAGGCTGTGATTCACTTTCTGTGGAATTGTAACAGACACATTGACTGGCCACTAGAAAATAACCAATGCCACATGTCTAGTTCCTAGTGCAGACTGTCTTTTACTAATTACCCTCAGCCATTTAAGATCAATTCATAGTGTATTGACGTGGCAAATCATTTGGTTTAGTGACTGACCGACTGACTGACTGGTCTCAACTTTGCAAAGATATGCAGCAGCTCCAGAGGCAATCTCCTCCATGTACCACGCAGAACAAGAGAACACTGTGAAGAGAGGTTCAAAAGAGAGACAATAAACGGAAATGTCAGTTAGGGAAAAAGAACACTAATGTGGAATAACAAAAGTTTTATTGAATATGAAAAACCGCAGAGAGTGTGAATGTCTATGCGCCAGTGAGGGAGATTTCGAGCCATATCACCGATTGTCTCCAGCCATCGATTCGCACCATCCCGAGGAACCTTACCTGGAAGTCTACACCTCTCTATGTGACTGGCTAGCCTAAACTAAGTGTTATGGACTTCATCGAGTGATGAAGCCATGTTTTCTTTTGACCACCAATAGCTCTCTCTTTTCCAAACTGATCAGTGCTATGTCAGGCAACATTGCCTGTCGAGGGAAGCGATGGCTAGGCATGTCTTAATCATCTTAATCGATGTAATTCCACAACCTCGTCGATTGATTTTCCCTCCTTACGAAGCACTCGAATGAAGGCTAACCTCAAAATAACTCACCACATTACACCTACCACCTAGCACAAGAGATAGAACGCAGACACGTACGGTGAAAAAAAGCTAGCCAGTCTTTTCATGTCTTCCACTTTCTATGGCCATATCTTTCAGCCACAAAAGGAGGACGCAGAGAACTGCTGGCTTAGTGACAACTCTGGAAACTTAACTGGTCGTGAAATCCAGTCAGTACTAAGGAACAGACACATGAAATCGAGTATACCCCAAAGACCAGTCAATCTGAATGGAATGCCGAGAAAATACATTGCACTGATTAAGGCAATCTACTCGTACGCATGCAGCCAAGTGAGTGCTTACGGCGAGTTGTCATCTGAACTGGTGACGAATAGTGGTGTCCGTCAAGGATGCCCATTATCCCCATTTCTATTCAACTTCATCATAGATGTACTAATGAACTTAACCCTAACTCACTTCAGCGACTCAGGGATTGACTTGCTACCAGGGAATAATCTCGTTGACTTAGAATATGCAGACGATATAGTCCTACTAGGCGAGGACGCTGGCAACATGCAGAGTCTTCTAAACACCTTGAGCCGCAATCTACGAATGTTTGACATGCGATTCGCTCCAGCCAAATGCAAGATGGTGTTACAGAACTGGACTACACCGACTCCTAGATTAGAAATAGGAAGTGATGTGGTAGAGAACGTTGACCGCTTCACTTATTTGGGAAGTACCATCAGCCAACGCCAACAGGTTGATCTCTGACGAAATCTCAGCACGAATACAGGGGGCTCGTTTCGCATATGCCAGTTTACGCCGTCTCTGGCATAGACGTGATATCCGGCTGGCTATCGACCAAAGGGCGGGTGCACTGCTCATCAGTATACTCCGTCCTCCTTTATGGCTGTGAAACCTGGCCATTGAGAGTGGAAGATATCAAAAGACTATCTGTCTTTGATCATAGGTGTCTGCGTTCTATCTCCCGTGTGAAGTGGTAGGTATAATAAGGTGAGCAATATTGAGGTTAGGCTTCGGTCGAGTGCTAAGTAAGGGGGAGAAATCAATCCACGAGCCAATGAAGCTACATCGATTGAGATGGTTAAGATATGTGTTACGCATGCCTAGCCGTCATCTTCCTCGATGGGCAATGTAAACTGACATAGGATGGATCAGGTTGGAAAAGAGCTGGTGATGGTGGTCAGACAAAAACATAGATTCATCACTCAATGAAATCCATAAAAGTTAGTTTAAGCCACGTAGGAAGTTGTAGACTTCCTGGTTGGGGTCTTCGGTGATTGAAAACAATTGGTGGTACGGCTCAAAATCGTTCTCAATGGCGCAGATGCATCCACTCCTTGTGACTTATGATTTCCAATGAAACTATATTGTTCTCCGTTATTACTATTCCCTTATCTCACACCGCTGTTTACTGTCACTATTATGCATTTCTTCTACTTTCTTCTCTTGCTTTGTGTGCCACATGAAGTGTGGCGACCTGAGCTGCCGCACATTGGTGCAAAGTCCTATGTCGAAAACAGACAATCTGAAGTTTATTATATACTAATAAGTAAAGAATTTATCTATTTTGTTCGTGTTTTTGCCTCCCATATTAAGAATTTTAAAAAATGAGTCAAAATAGAGTCAACGCAATTTAGAATAGGGAAAAAGCCTTTCCATAATTCGTTAGGAAATATTTTTGGAGAATTCTTAAGGTGAAATAAATCAGGAACAAAATTCGCATTGAAGATGTCTAGAAGGATAAGAAAAGCTTCACAATCAAACCACCCGACTCAGAGAACGCCAACACAATAAAATTTTCCACCTGTGTGGTGTGTGCTACAGACAACATTTCTAAGATGCAGACTTATAGGAAGCGGCCAAAATTGAAATCCACATTGTAAGTGAATAGCTGGCTGCAGAGGTAGGAGTGTTTATTCCTCAAATTTGGATCTACTTAACGTTATGGTCAGGAGATAATCTCATTGGACAACTTTTCATCGTAATGTTTAACTCTGGACCAATCGCCAACCAATCAGAACAGTTTATTTTCCGCTGACATAGCCGACTTTTAATGTGAATAAAAATGTATAAAGATGATGGGTTTTTGCCTGTTAAGAAATCGTTTGCCTTCTGCCATTGCTTTTGAGCTATAAATCATCTTAGTGATATAATGATAATAAAAGCTTTATTCTCAAAGTAATTTATAGCATAGTAATTTCTTCTCATCTAGGATCTTCAAGCAAAAATAATATTCTATAGTATACCAGGGGACGCAGTACTGTTTGACTGAAAGCAAAGACTGATCTCTTATGATATTTTTACCTTCGTTTCCGAGAAATGTGCACCGTCAGTTTGAAAGCAGCTTAAAAATGTGTGTGTGAGAGTACATTTTGAGATTCAAAGACATAATTGAATAGTTACAACAATAAGAATTCGAGAAAATGTTATGCATAGTTTGTTTGATGGAAATTCAGGTAGTTCAGTGATTCAAGCAGACCGCCATTTCAGTTATTTTAAGTTTCATGTACAGTTAGATTTATATTAGTAAAATAGCACATTCATTATTAAAGCATTAGTGCTGTGCGTCGGTGGCACAGTGGTAGGATGCTCACCAACCGCACCCCATGTGGTCCGGGGTTCGATGCCCGGCCGACGCCTCATCTACCTTGCTAAGTCAGTAATAAGACTGGTAAAGAGGAAAGGTTGGGCTTGAAGCTAGCAGCCTCATTCCGAAACCTAAAGCTCTAACTTGAAGCCTTATGTTCCACTGGGAACGTAAAAGAATAAAATAAGTGCTGAGTGTAAATTATCAAAATGATTATAAATTAAGTAATGACTCCAACTGTATAAAGAAAGGGTTTCAACTTGAAATTATTCTTTGATTATATTTTTAGTACCGTTTTGAAAGCTGTTTATCAGCAAACCTTATCTATCATCTTGAAGAGACTTAATGTATCAAATTCTGTCTTTTTTATTCCTTTGCGTTCCGATTGGAACATAGGGCTTCAAGCCTGATCTTTGAAGTTTCTATAGCAATGGGATTCTTTCTAAGGGGTGGGTAGGGTGCCAGCCCTATGCACAACCTTCCCTGTTTATCGAATTTACTTTTGGCTCAGCGAGGTTCAAGAGTGCGTCGGCTGGGAATCGAACCCCGGGACATATCCGTGGCTAGGGAGCATTCTACTACTGAACCACCGACTTAAAGTTCTTTCTAAAATATAGTATTTCTTCAACCATTGAGCGTTCAGGGTACTTCCTTTCAAGTTAATTAAATATCTTATCCACTCACTTGACTAAATGATGAGACATAGAATTCATCATTAATTATGTGGTACACTTTTGATAGACTATAAAATATAGGCATACAGCTTCACACTTTTCTATCATTAAAGCAATTAAATCTATCATTCATTCACCTTTCTTTAATAACAGACTCTTTACGTATTTCAGCAGAGAAATTTCTAGTATTACATCTTACCCATTTTAAGTTTAAGTACATTAAACTGATGACTAAACACTAACATCGGTCGTTCAACAGGAGAATACTTGCCAATCACCCACGTGATCCGGGTCCGACTACCGGCCAATGCACTTCTAAACCTCGCTTAGCTGGTAAGTAAACAGGGTAAACAGGAAAGGTTGTTTACAAGACTAACAACTCCACCCCGTAAAAACAACACCAGCCTTACTGGAACTTCAAAGTTTAAACCTGAAGTACAAAAGATCTGTGTAACAGTTAAATTGTTTGTAATATACAAACAATAAAGTATTGTACCATAACTTTTCACAAAGGACACCTAGTAGCTGTGTAAAAGAAATATAGTATTAATCAGCAATATCACTGTCCTAATATATGACTGCAAAATGTGATCATTAGAAGTAGACATCCTAAGTGCTACCAATGCCAGTATTTGATGAAGTCTTTACATTAACACTGTTTTAAATTCGAGCATAAGTCGAAGAATTTTCATTCATATCTATCTGTTGAGATGGCCAGAACCTTTGTCACGCGTGACTGTCCACCGTCTATTTCAATATATTAACAGGATTTGGATTGATTTGAAAGGACATGAAGGATGATCAGAGTAAGACGTGACGACACCAGTTGATGTGAGTAGTATACGGCAGCCACCATACGAAGCTGTAGCAAAAAACGATTCGAAATTATATGTACGCATAATAATACTAACAATACATCTAATTTATGACACCCTAACCGATAGCTGCTACCTTGACGTGGTGCTCCTGCTTGCATATCGCAATGACCCAACAAGCTACACTGGCTGGAACTATTGTTCCTGTAGGTCCTACCATGCCAGGAAGTTGTTAGGATAGCGATTAGACTAAAAGCAGTTGCCGGCATTGTGTAAGAATTTCTTTCTTTACACTATGCTGGGGGTCTGTGGGCGAAGTCGTACTGCTGGGGAACAGGGATGTAACAGCAGTAAGGTGTTTCCCTCAGATGACCAGAATGCCAACTATGCTGTTTTTCTATTCTGGGAAGAGGGGATTAGAAAAGGTCAACCCCAGCAATTGTATATCTCGACTTATCCTACGGTGGTTGTAACCGGTGGTAAGTTTACCAATATGGAACCAATTCCAGAAACCAGTTCATACAGGCCGTGTGTGTGACGGGCCTCAAGCAGTTGTCCCAGGGGCTCTGCGGTCAGTCAACACTAACCCTCTCTCTGTTTCAGGTAGCCGAAGACTCAATCAACTTCCACGGTATTGGCAGCCGGGAAGTAAAAACCACCCACACACTTCCAAAAAAGCAATTGCTGACATTAGACAAAACACACTTTGCTGACTGAATTTGTACTCACTCTGTACTTAGATGTATTTGTTTTACTATACCATCTATTGCTTTTTTCTTCATTGTAGGTGCATTTGTTAGTCCACTTATTCGTATGTTTGGATTTCGTATTAGTGGATGTTTTGGAGCATTTCTACTTGGTTTTGGTATGTCTGTAGCAAGTTATCTAAACAATATACACGCGTTTACAATATTTTATGGAATTGTATCAGGTCAGTTTTTCCACTCTATTCTATTCTTTCTCTTTTTTGTCAAATCACTTGAGTGTATTGTATTCCTGTACGCAATTTTATGTAAATTTGTCACCTAGATACCGATCGTGTTTACAAGAGATGAGAAAAAATATTTCAAGATGAGTCTTTCTCTTTATTCTAGTCTAAATAGACTAGACTTATTGTCATGATAGACATCTAATTTGTCAAAAATAAGTATCAGCTGTCGTCTAATACAACAAAACATTTTCATATTATAACCATTTTTTCTATCACTTATTATTTGTATTAGTTTTGTTCTTTAGTTGTATGAGACCAGATTTTGTCTCCAGACCATGATAGAACAAGAGACTGAATTAAACCTTTTCTGTACACAAAGTTCGGGGTTGTATTGATAAATTGCTGGAGCTTCCAGCCCAAAAACACGCCCAAATGTGTTTTGTATGGTAGAGGAGCTGGCGAACTCTGTGTATAGTAAATATTCCTCCAGTTTTGATTGGACACTAGTAACTAGTGTGACGTGTCTACTCGTTTGTTTGGTGAAGACTGAATTCTATCAGTCACGTTTGCAATGTGGCCACCATTCTAGGTAGCTCGCCATCACGGTTGCAAATACGTCTTGCTGACGAGTGCCAACTAGCTCGATTGCCTCCAACTATATAATATCATCCCTCCGGTTTGTTATTCTATCATAGTCTCAAACCCCTTTCTAGCTAGCTGCTTCTACTTTTAGTAGGTAATTTCACTATTACCAATGTTATACGTCCTATTTCGGGAATTTCGTCTTCATTAACTGTCACCAAGCGAAATGTTTCTTTCTGATAAACTATAGTATGAAAATAATACACTTTAACCTGAGTTATATATTATATGTATGTTGACACTCCGATATAGCTATCATCCCCACTGTCGTCATTACTTTGGCGATTAATTTAGACTACTTGGTGAGTATTCATCTGTTCACTAATCTTCCTCTCCCTCTCTGTATATCTCCTTCCACCATTAGGTTTGTCTAATTTTGAAATTTGGATTGTATGAACGGATTTGTCCTTTTGAAATGAATCATCGTGGTACACAGCGGATGAGATCAGCCTAAAACAAATAAGTGAAACAACCGTCCAGCATCTAGGTAACTTCGATCAGGCTGGCAAGCACTACTGTTTAACTTGAGTGGTCTGCAACTACTCAAATCACTTGATCAGTAGTATATACAGTCGAGTTACATGGTTTATTGATTTTTGTCACCTATTTTTTATGTACTAATGTTAAATGTACTAACCTAGAATTCATGGGCTGGTGATTGGATCGGGTCCCTGTGGCTTAATGGTCTACGAGCTCGCTCACTTTGTAACCAGAATGTCCTCGGTTCGAACCCTGGCGGTAAGTGCGTATGGTTGAAGAGTCCCAAACTAGAAAGGAAAATCTGTCCAGTACTCCCAGGTTTTCCCAATGGTTCTCTAATCGATGTCAGCTTATGATTAAATCCTGTACCCGATCAGTCAAATCCCTAAATCCAGCACTTGAATACCATACCATTAGATTGACTTAACCTGTTAATTCAGGAAGATAGTTTATTATATGACAACAATCATTAGCTGTTAAAATTAGTATGCAGATGTTCAGCACTCAGCACAAGAAAAAGCATTTGAATTTTCAACAATGATGCCAAGTTGAAGCTTCTATATGCTTCAAATGCTTGGCACGTGCGTCACTATAAGCTTCTGAAGATTTTCATCAACAGTTGTTTTCGCTGACGTGATACTGAAAATTATATAGCTGGTCAGCAAGAATAAGAAAAACAGGACTCTGGCAATAAATCAGCCAAGAACCTAACGCCCAATAAATATGTATGAAGAAATAGGAGTGAACTGAACATATACTCAGGAGATGTTTTAGTGACATCCCATTCTAGTTAGTCCTTCAAGTGGAACCTGAATTGGAAGCGACGGAATGGACATACCAGGATTATACCGAGAAAATTATGTGATGAGGAAAGGAACGTTTGTGAAACTAGCTGAAAGTGATAACAGAGAACAGATTGAGATGGATATGTACTGCTGAACCCCCTTGATCCACTAGGAATTCAAAAGCAAAACAAATAGTAGTCGTAGTAGTATTTTCTGTTGCCTCGAGTTTATACTGACTCCGGTGCAAAACTTCAAGCATAGTCAGTTAATTCGAAACAGAGAGAACATTCATCAAACTTGCCTGTAAAAAGAAGTTTACGATAAATCTCAGCAAATGTTATTTGGAGTTAGTTCTGCACACATTATGAAGCTTGGCCTTAAAATAATCAAAGGTATACGTTTCTTTTTTAGTTTGATAAATCAACAGAAACGACAGGTTAGTTGTTCCCTATGTGAACCTATTTTAACTTTCAATAGTTTGAATCCATTAAATGATAACGTACTTCTACAGAATTAATATTTAAAGCAAACCATATTGATATGTATATATATAGACAACTCTTTTAAGAAAAAAAACATTATGCAGACAAGTTTACGTAATCAGCAGAGGCTGGTATACGTCATTCCATGTGTCATTGAAGCTTGAACACACCACTCTTCACTTCAAAAGCCAGAATGTAATGAAAATATGACCGTGGCAAATGAAGACTTCTATAAACTACTTCTGGACACTTGATGTCACAATGACAAGTCATTGACATTAGTGACAATGTAGCGAAATATATATGTATATATATACAGTTGAACCAGTAGTCAGTATTAGAAAAGATGACATTTATTTCCCCAAAGTGCGGTAAGCTAGTCTATTGACAGCTTAATTCATTTTTACATTGTATTTTAGTCACTGATGAAACGTAACAAACGGTTATTTATTTTTTAAAAATTTTATTCTTTTACATTCCCAGTGTGCTTTGGTGGTACAGCGGTAGAATGCTTGCCAACCACTCCCCATGTGGTCCGGGGTTTGATCACCGGCCGGCGCACTCCTTTACTTTGCTAAGCCATTAGTAAGACTGCTAAAGAAGGAAGGTTGGGCATGAGGCTAGCCACCCTATCCCGTTACCGAAACTTCAAGCTTCTAGCTCAAAGTCCTATGTCTCACTGGGAACATAAAGGAATTTAAAACAAATACATTCCCAGTGGAACATAAGGCTTTAAGCGTGAGCTTTGAAGAAGCTTTAGTGGCAGTAGTGTTCATTTTTTACGGGGCTGTGGTTGATAGCCTTACTTCTAACCTTCCCTCCTTACCGCTCTCGCTACTGGCTAAGCGATGTTTCGGAGTTCGTTGGCCAGGTACCTGACCCCAGACCACTTGAGGCGTGGTTTGCGAATATTCTATCAGTAAACAACTTACGCACAGTAACAGACAGTTAGGTCTATAAATCTAATATATAGATTATGGTTTAACATGCGTTTTAACTGTCTAATCTTGATTTGATTCAGAAGAATTCTTGGCAAATCCTTTAATTTAATTTCAGATTTTCCCGTAGATTGATTTGACCAAAGTGCTCGGTCTCAGGTTGACATGTTGGCTTCTTGTTGTAGATGCTTCGATGATGTCTAAGCATTTAATTAGAATTTAACTTGTGGATGGTGACTAGCAATGGAATCTAGGATGCGCATCTCGTCTTATTTGAGACTCGTCAGTTGGATGTACCTGCATTTCTCAGTGAGTGATGATGTTCCACCGAGGCTCGAAGCTAGTGCCTATAGTTTCAAATGCCAAAGCATTATCCACCAATTAAATTCTAATTAAATGCCCAGACATCGTCGAAGCATCTGCACAAGAAGCCGACATGTCAACCTGAGACCAACCATTTCAGTCCAATCAATCGACGGGAAAATCTCAAATTTAATAAAATTAATATGACCCGTTGCACAAGAGGTGGCCTTCCTGGCCGAAATAGTCTAGTGGATAACGCTTTGGGTTTGAAACTATGGGCACCGGGTTCGAGTCTCGGTGGGAACATCATCACCACTGAGAAATGCAGGTACATCCAGCTGACGAGTCCCAAATTGGATGAAATGCGCATCCTGGATTCCACTGCTAGTCACCATCCACCAACTAAATCCTTTAATTATCAACACTGATCACAAGATAAAGATTCATTGTGAAAAGGAAGTGTATGGAACTAATTAAACACGTGATTACTGCAAGATATATTGCAAATGACAAAAAAAGCTAGGCAATAACGTAAGAATCATTTTCCATCTATGGAAGTGAAGAAAAACCTATCGAATGAATAGAAGATTGATTTATGGTTAGTGGGATAAAAGTATCTCATTAATCTGTCAACGAAAATGACAGAAAAAACACCCAACTAATTACTTATAATTCTTACTGTAACCACCAATAGCTTAAATTATTTATTCATTTGTGTGTTTTCCCATGAGCATATCTGTATCGAATACAAATCAGCTTGATCGATTGATCATTATGATTTATTGGCTGCTTGAATGGATGCGTCAACTTCACCAAGATTAAGAATTGAAATTACTTGCTTTGGTGGTGGTTAGTATGGGGAGCAGGGACACACATTTCGTCTTACTCTTGACTCGTCATCTAAATGTACTTGGATAACTAGTAAGTGTTGTTGTCCCCACTGAAACGTGTGCGCTTTACCCATCTCTTGAAAAATCAAAGCTTTATCCACTTGGTCACTTGGCTACAATAGTCACCTTTGGTTCAACAGCTATGATTCGGAATGTCTGTGTTAACACAAGTCGATATATGAGGTAATAATTCTGATACTATCAAGTCATTCAGTCAAGGGGCTTATGTACCAAAGTGAGGTCAATGAATTCAGTGAAATATGTCAGCGGGAAGTTAAAAATGTGAATAAATAATTTTGCATCTTGCCCATTGAACCAGAGGTGGCTATCATGGATAGTGACCTCCTGGACAACATTCTGACGTTTGAGGCGATGGTTGCTGCGTTCGAGTCTCATTGGGAACATCATTATCACTCGCTAGAGATGACAGTATGCTCAACTGACTGGCAACAAGCATTAAGAAGCATGTATCCTCCATTC